ACAGCAGTTCAGTGGACCAGTGGTCTAGGGGCTTTCACAGTAAAGGGTGTGGGTTCAGCCCCTGGTTGGGGAAGTTCTGCATGCTGCTAGCGAATCAAAAAAGAAAAAATCACTTTTGAGGTTTATAAGAATTTAGCAAGATTGCTGACTTTAAGATCTTATATGGGCTGATTCATGTCAATGTATGATAAAACCCACTGAAATGTTGTGAAGTTATTAACCTCCAACTAATAAAAATAAATGAAAAGAAAAATTTAAAAAAAAAGAATAAAAAAAAAGATCTTATATGATTAAGCAATTCTGTTCCTGTAGAGAGCACAGTATGAAGACAACTTTTAAATCCCACTCAAATAGTACCATTTCCCATTCATCAAAGAGAAATATGGGAAACACCAAAATTAACATGGGATGATAATGATGTAATCCTGCTGTATGAAGCCCTCTATATGTATGTCGGTGTGCAAAAGTAGCCAAGACAATTCTGAAAAGAAAATCTAGACTGGAATAGGGAAGACACTCCAGATATCAAAGCACATGATAAAATTATAGTCATTCGAAGTGTGGTATTGGCACAAGAGTACAAATATACAACAAATATACACCAAGATAGAAAAGATTCCAGATGGATGAAGCCCTGAAACAGAGATCTCCATGAAGCCAACCACAAATATGTACCAAGTTCTTATTCTGTATCAGGGACTATACTGGTGTTGACGGGAAAGTATGCACAGCCTAAAAGTTGGGAATTTCACTTTCTTCGGCAGCCTTGCAAATCTGAATTTTTAAGATTGATTTCTTAGAGCACCCAGTATAACCCAAACAGATGAAGTGGAACAGTAGAAAGGCATATGATGAACTCAGAAATATGAACAAAGACCAAGTCACAGAGGATTTTGTTAGCCAACTGAGGAATCTAGATTTAATTTTAAGTACTGTAGGAAAACATTTGAGATGTTTAGGCCTTATATAGATGTGATGTGATTTAGGTTTTCAGAATATTTCTTATTGCTCTGTGGAAAGTAAAGTGTAGGAATTGAGAAAGTAGAGAAATGAGTGGGAGGCTGCTTCAATAATTCAGAAAAGAAATGGCAGTGTCTTAAACAACAGGAAAGAATCAAATTTTTCAATCCAGTCCATCAAAAGCATAAATATAAATCATCTTTAAGAGGCATACTTTCTGCTCATGGCTGTAGGGAGAACAAACGGAATGTAGAAAGAGTAAACATAACGCCATGATAGGAGGCAGAAGCAGGAAGACCAGGCCCTCACACTGGCAACTAAGGCGACTATCAGGTCACCAAGACACAACCAGTCAGAGACTATCAGGCCACCCAGATACAGCCAATCAGAACTTGTTACGGAAAGATCCCGCGCGCGCGAATGTCTGACCAATGAAAAGACCCCCGCGAACATGTAACCAATCCGCTTCGCTAAATGACCCCTGCTTATGTTTGAAATTGGATGTTCTATAAATATGGGTAGAAAACCGGGCTCGGGGCTCTCAGCCTGTGCGCCACTGCGTTGGACACAGCGGGGGCCCTAGCTCGAGCTAGCAATAAACTTCCTTCTTGCGTTTTGCATTGTCTCTTGGTAGCTTTCTCTCTTCCCGCTCGGGGATTCGGACATCGGGCATAACATTTGGGGGCTCGTCCGGGATCCCTTGGCGAGGAGAGAAACCTCCCGAGACAGAAGGAAGAATCCGAACGGTACCGGTACCCAGTCAGGTCAGGGAAATCCAGTGTAAAACCGGGGCCTGCTAGGAGAGCAGGGAGGTAACTGGTACAGGGAAATCCAGTGTAAAACCGGGGCCTGCTAGGAGAGCAGGGAGGTAACTGGTGCAGGGNCCAATGTTCATCACAGCACTGTTTATAATAGCCAGGACATGGAAGCAACCTAGATGTCCATCAGCAGACGAATGGATAAGAAAGCTGTGGTAAATATACACAATGGAATATTACTCAGCCATTAAAAAGAATACATTTGAATCAGTTCTAATGATGTGGATGAAACTGGATCCTATTATACAGAGTGAAGTAAGCCAGAAAGAAAAACACCAATACAGTATATTAACGCATATATGTGGAATTTAGAAAGATGATAACAATAACCCTGTATTCGAGACAGCAAAAGAGACAGAGGTGTATAGAACAGTCTTTTGGACTCTGTGGGAGAGGGCGAGGGTGGGGTGATTTGGGAGAATGGCATTGTAACATGTATATTGTCATATGTGAAATGAATCGCCAGTCCAGGTTCAATGAATGAGACAGGGTGCTCAGGGCTGGTGCACTGGGATGACCCAGAGGGATGGGATGGGGAGGGAGGTGGGAGGGGGGATCAGGATGGGGAATACATATACACCCGTGGCAGATTCATGCCAATGTATGGCAAAACCAATACAATATTGTAATTAGCCTCCAATTAAAATAGATAAATTTATATTTTTAAAAAAATAAAGAAAGGTTATGAAAAAACAAGAAAGAAGTGAGAGAAAAAAAATTCCAGGAAAAAAAAAGAATTAGGAATTTTACATTCAGCACTGAGTGGAATAACTGTATAGGTTCGAATATGAAGTTGTCTTCTATGAAATTCTGCATCTTTTCTAATGCACTATTAAAAACACACACATAAGCTTAAAAGTTAAAAATTTCTAAATGTTATGTCAAATCTATCTAAAGATTGTTCATTTCATAGCAGAAGAATGTCAATGAAAGCTTACTATGTAGTGTAGATGAATAATTCTTTTTTTTTTTAGATGAATAATTCTTTAGAATGGTAGACTGAGATAGTATCCTTAATTTATTTCCAAATCATTAAAAAAAAATGCCTTGGGTAAATGTAAAAAAAAAAAAAAAAGAATTTTACATGCCTAAGATATTCCTCAGGATCCAGAGTGCCCACACAAAGCCACGTGCCCCTTTAAACCCACCAAAATGAAGAGGACTTCTAAATTGTGTGACACAGGAGAGCCCTGTCCTGGACCATCTCACAGAGGGGTCAGGTAGGACCAGGGCAGTGTAGACCCTCCTTGGGAGCAGAGCCAAGGTTCAGCCAGATTCTGTGATCTATGTTGCTCCTCTGCCAGCTCAGTAAGTTGGACGCACTCTGAACCTTTCACTCATTTGATGATTATAGTTTTGTTGTGGTTATGCTATCATTTCCTCCTGTATTAATGGGGGGTGAACTTATCATTTCACCACAATTTTTGGACCACTAAGAGCCATATCCATGGTAGAAAAAGAAATTTACATCATCAGAAGTCCTAGATTTGGAGGTGAATGTGATCTAGTGTTTCTCCCTTTAGAATAGGAAAGTGAAGCATTGGTTGTATATGGACTACATAAATTCTACATAGAGGAAACATCTGAATTTTTTTTCAAACAGAAAAGCAGAGACAGAGAAGCTTCAGGTATCAAAGTTTTGCATAATGGATGATGGTGGTGACAATGTTGAGTACCCATCCAGTCTTACTCTTTTCCACCCTTGTTTTGGGAAAGGAAAAAAGTCCCCATCTATGACAGAGAATTGTGTCCAAGCCCAAACCCTGGTCAATCAGAGTCCCTCATACCTACGGATAAAGTGACTGTCCTGTGACTGTCCAAGTGAAAGCTTGGAGTGTCACTCAATCAGACTTCATCTAGATTACTAAACTGAATACTCAACATAATGGTCTTTTGTCATTTGGGTAATGGGCTGAGAATTTGAGATGGCCATATTACTAGCCATGTGGAAAATGCTTGATTCCCAAAGGAGAAAATAAGAGACAGAAACAGGGACGAGCAGAACTCAAGAGACATACACAGAGCATGAGCCAGAGAAAGCCGGAAACCTGTATCCCAGGAGGGAAGTGGAGACAGAGAGAAGCAGCGAGACGAGCAATATCAAGAGAGAATGTACACAGAGAGATAATGGGCAGGGAGAATGACAGAAAGCGCAGCAGTGACAGGCACGTGAGCCAGTAGATGGAGGCGTGAAGGGGTGGACGGGAGACACTCTGAGAGGCGGGCTCAGTAAGTGCAGAAATGCACGTGAGAGGCGTAGAGGGAGAAGAGAAATACAGAGAAAGAGAAGCACTCACAAGCTGAACGTGGGTATAAAAAGGAAAGCACAGTCAGAGACAGAAGGACAGGAAAACCAATGAAGAGATTAACAGAGAGAGAAAGGGTCCTTCAGACAGAGACAACAAAGAGAAAGGGAGAGAGAGACAAAAAGAAGAAAACGGAGGTATAGATGGAGAGAGATACAGAAAGAAGTAGTACATTGAGAGGAGAGACTGAGGCAGGAGGGGAGAAGGCCCAGAGAAGGGGCTAAGAGAGAGGGGAGACGGTCTCACTGACGTCCTGGGATTTAGGCATTTTTCTGAAGTCAAATCCGAACACAAACTTTCCAATTACGTGAAACCCCCAAATGAATGTTTTCCTTCAGGCTGATTTTAGGAAAATTTTCATCATATGCACTGGAAAAAATACTTGCTAATAAAAGCTTCCACTGTTAATTATACATGCCGGTAGTTTGGAGTCAATGAGCAATAATTTTATTGATATTTTGCCCCAGTGAGACAGGGCATTTGACAGAAGATATTTGTGCTATTCATTTCATTCATCACATCAGGCATTGGGTCCATGAAGGGACCAAACTGTTTCACTTGCACAAATATATGAAAACTCATCAGACTGTAGTAGAAGCCAGAAAAATCTGCTGCACAGAGTCCCAGCTTGCAGGGCCCACAATGGAAAATTGAATTTACTTCACACCTTACTTCATGTTGTTACGTGATACCTGAATTAGACCAAGGACGGGGACCCAAGACCTTCTAGTCGCCTTGCCTGGATCTGACCTTCTTTGGGACATAACTGAACTTGAGCATCTGACCTTTTCTTTGTTAGTGTTTCCCCAGGACCACCACCATCACACTCAATAAGAATTAGGAACACAAGGGATTAACAAATCTATTTAATTTTGAAAACTATTTAATGGAAACATAAAAGAGTTTGACACTGAATTCACGGGCAGTCTTCAAAAGAGAACGAGATCAGAAATACCTGTTGAGGGCATTTATGGTTCAAACAGACTCAGCAGGCGGTTCAGAAAGCCAACGAGGAACTGCCCAACTGAGTCATGGGCAGAAATTCAGGAAAAAACAAAACAAAAAGAGGATGTGACAGCTGCTTCTGGGTCACCGGGAGTCAGGTCCTGATGGATGATGCGGGCAGAGCTGGCTTGTTCACAGGTCCTGAGAGCAAGGAGGCAGGAACCACGGAGAGGAATAGTTGGACAAGATCAGGAAAGAGTCATGACAGATCCCAGGAAGAAGAACGCTGGGGTCAGTGCAGGAACCCTGGAGGAGAGACGCAGGACTCATAAGTCACACCCACCCCTGAAGCAGATTCAGCTCTACCCGCTCTGGGTCCCTTGGGGACACTGAGATTAATCTCATCTAACACCTGCTCTTCACTACATCTCCTGGAACTAAGGAAGGACCATACTCCACGAAAGTGAACACACATCTTCAGCTTGAAGGACCGCATGGCCAGCTTCTGAGCACAGGTCATGGACTAATCGGATGGGTGAGAACTGTGGGTCCTGTCCTTTCTCCTACCAGCAAGTTCAGGAGTACTTTCTGTCACGGTGGAGTCTGGGGCATCATTCAGACACTCCTGAATGGCTGATAGCAAAGGCTGGGTCCTCTTCTAGAGAAACCACCTCTGAGGTTTCCTGCAGAGACTGCATAGAAGGTTCCAGACTTTTCCCTGACCCCAACTCACATGAGTGAATGTGGTGTGAACCAAGAATGGAATAACAGAGGCAGGTGAGAGAGTCCAGACCAGCCCACTCCACAGCTCTGTCTGTCTGTGTCACTGTTCCAGACCAGAAGGAGAGGGATCTCACCTGTGGATGGAGCCTCAGGATCGGCTGGCATCAGAAGAATGAAAAGGAAGGGAAACAAAAACTCATTCACCTGCGAAGTGAGAAAATAGCATCTCTCTTTATCTCAACCTCCGAAAGGAAAGGAAGGGACAGTTCCAGAACGTTCTTTTCTCTTCTCCCACTCACATACAATAAAGATTCAACTGCCACAAAAGAAGATCACCCCAACGTCACTGAGACAGTCGCTAGAGAAGGATCAACAGAGGCTTTTCAGCCCAGCACCTGCCTTCCCCTTTTTCTCCCAAGGTGCCTTACCTCTCTTATCCCAAAAGTGGACAAAAAGGCCCACACCAAGGAAGATCAGCCCCAGCACAAAACCTCCAATTCCGCTCCGCGTCTTGCTCTGGGCAGATTCAGACTGTGCCCCTGGAAGTCAAAGCCCTCACATCAGTGTCCGCACAGCCCACAGCATCCTCGTCTGGAAGCCTGGAGTCTGGTCGTGTGTATGAGAGACAGAGGGGCTCAGAAACCAGACAGAAGAGGGGAGGGCAGGCAAAGACCCCGGGGGGCTCTGATGGATGACGGGGGCAAGATGGTAGCCCCAAGGAGGCATGTCCATCTGTTTGTCCGTCCTCCACGGGTCACCTTCAGATACCAGCCTCTATGTCAAAGCCCAGAGCCTGAGCACTTCAGAAGGCGCATTACTCAGGCTGAACTGCAGCCTGGAGGAGAGGGGAGAGGGGTCCGGTCGTGTGAAGGGACCACCATCACATCTTGGGGGGAAAATGAGATAAGGACTCGACAGATGTCTTTCAACTTGAGATGCTGGGATCTAGTCCTCGGTCACTTCCAGCCCAGAAACTGTGTCAGGGAGTTACGTAGGACACGAGGGATGAAGACGGACCCCACCCCACCAGACGCAGTGCACTCCCTGAACTTTTTCTTTCCTGTCGAGTCCACAGGGTCAATGAAGTGGCCCTTACGCCATTCTACTGTGATGGGGCTCTGGAGGCTGGGGTGGTCCACCCGGCACACGTAGACGTCTCCAAGCTGCGGTTTTGTCTCTAGCATCACGTGAATCTGGTAGGTCCAGTCCCCATTCTGAGTAAGAGGTGTGAACCCAACTCCCGCCGTCTCCTCCTGTTGATTCCGGAACCATTTGACTTTAACTTGGCGAGGATAGAAATTTGTCACTGAACAGACCAGCAGATTATGGTGGTTCGGGTCTTCTGTACTGGCTGGAGAGACAGTCACTGTAGGCTCCACTAGGAGGAAAAGAGACAAAATTAGAGAATGAGGCAGCAAAGAAATTCTTACCAGGGGCTGCAGTCTGTCCTTAGAAATTGAAGTAGGCCAGATAACAGGAATTACCGCCACCTCTAACCAGAGGCAATTATTATTCTAATTTCTAACACCATAGTTTATAATCTTACATGTTTGTAATTTTCATGTAAATGGAATGTTACCATATGTGCTATTTTGTTTCTGGCTTCTGTATCTCAACATAATCTCTATGAATGCATTCATGTAATGGTTTCCTGTTCCTTTCATTGCTGTATAGTATTCTGTTGTATGGTTATAATTCAATTCATTTGTCCATTTGCTTGTTTCTTTTTTTAACATTTTATTTGTGTATTTGGCTGCGTTGAGTCTTAGCTGTGGCAGGAGAGTCTTCATTACAGCACAGATATTTTGTTGTGGCACATGGGCTTACTTGCTACATGGCATGTGGAATCTTAGTTCTCTGACCAAGAACCCCACTACCCCTGCATTGGAAGGCGTAGATAACTGGACCACTGGACCACTAGGCAAGTCCCTGTTTATTTCTTTTTATTGCTGAGTAGTAGTCTATTATATAGTTATGCCTCAATTTGCTTCTCGATGAAAATTTGGATTGTTTTCAGGCTTTGTTATAAATAATGTTCTCTTAACATGCTTGTATGCACACACACACACACATACACACACACAAAGATAACAAACATTTGTCATCTATTAGAATTCCAGCTCTGGGTTTATTTAGTTTATATGCTAGCCTACTTTGTAATAGAAGAAGACCTTTATTTAGCAATCACTGGTTTCTTGAACAAGATCATTTATGTGAAAGCTCTTTGTAACACAGACTGGATAATTTTTTTGCTGAAGTATGGTTGATTTTACTGATGTGTAGTTGATTTTTTTATTGAAGTATAGTTGATTTTTTGGAGAAGGAAGTAGCAACCACTTCCAGTGTTTCTGTCAATACTCCAACTCCAGTATTTTTGCCTGGAGATTTCCATGAACAGAGGAGCCTGGCGGGCTACAGTCCATGGGGTCACAGCAGTCAGACACAATTTAGCAACTAAACCACCACATAGTTGATTTACAGTGTGTTCATTTCTGCTGTGCAGCTAAGTGACTCAATTATGTATGTATATGCATATATATTCTTTTTCATATTCTTTTCCATTATGGTTTATCACAGGATATTGAACATAGTTCCCTATGCTCTACAGAAGGACTTTGTTGTTTATCCATCCGATACATAATAGCTTGCATCTACTAATAGATGGGGTAACTTTTAAACTATATTTACACACCCATATATGTGCACGTGTACATATATGCCAAGTGTGCTGGGCACACAGTTGGAGGACCAAAGCCAGCTCCATCTAGCTGCCCCAGTGAAGCTGACAGAAGCATTGCTCTTGAGGTTGGGACTATAAGGATGAGAGATTTCAATAGAAAAAGAAAGGGAAGGTGGAGAAAAGGAGAGCATTTCAAGGAGGAAGAATTACTTCTGCAAGGGTAAGGATGAAGGAAGTACACAAGAGTCAGATGTTGTAGGAAGGTGTGGAGTCTAGGAGATGGCAGGGACTCAGAAGCCCCAGCAGATACGGCCAGGGCTTGGGACATTTGAAGGACTGGAGTTGCCAGTTACTGTTCTCAATGCATCTCACATCTCCTGCATTGGCAGGTTCTTTACCACTAGCGCCACCAAGGAAGCCCCCAATGATTTTCCCACCCTCCCAACTCTGCCCTGCCAGATCTTCCAACATTTTTTCCCCTTAGAGATTGACACCCCTCCTGGTCCCCCTAAGATGCTGGGAAACCACAAAAGATCACTTTCCTGCGTCCTTCCCCACGAGGCTCTGTGTGAAGGCATCTCAGCCCATCCTAAACCCACCTCTCCGCTGGACAGTGAAGCTGGCTGTCTCCTTGTAGTTGTGTCTACACAGCGTCTCCACATAGGCCCGAAACTCCGCCAGGAGGTCCTTTTGGGTGTTCCAGGTCTCAGCACACACCTGGCCCAGCTCTGTAACAGCCACAAACTTGCCCAGATCGCTGTCAAAGTGCAGGATTTCTTCCTTGTTATAGATCTGTCTGGCCACAAGCCTCACACGCTCCGTCCCATTGGTGAAGTAGCACATGCCTTTAAACTGGTACACGAAATTCTCTGTGGGAGAGTCCATCAGGTGAGATTTAGTTCAGGCTTGCATCCCAACCAACCAACCACTTGTCTTAGGGAGGCATGGACGACAGAAGGAAAATACCAAAGGATTAAATAAAATCTGCTCTCAACCCTTAGAGTTGTATCCCTGGGAAAAATTTAGATGAAGCTAGACCATTCTTCACACCCTGTACAAACTAAACCTGGATGAATTAAAGCTCTGAGTATGAAATGCAATCCTACTATTACATTAGAGATGAAATCTGAGAACATCTTCATGACTCTGGAAGTATAAAGGATTTCTTAAGCAAATCATGAAAATGACAAGCCATAAAGGAGAAAAGATTGATCAACTTCATTAGAATAACAGCTTCTGCTCATCAAGCTATCACAAGAAAATAAAAAGACAAGCCAGGAAGTACCAACAAACATTGGCAAAGCAGGTGGTGACCATGTGCTTAGTTTGGAGTATAGTATTTTTTTATTCCTTAAAAACAAATAAGACAGATACTATAATAGAAAAAAAAGGGGAGAAATGTCAAAATAGGTACTACAAAAAAGACTAAACAACAAGTAGACAATAAACATAGGCAGAGTTGCCCATCCTCGTTAAAATCAAAGAAATTCAAATTAAAAACACAGTGAAATATAGACACAGAGAACAGGCTTGTGGGAGGGGATGAATGGAGTGGGAGTTTGGGATGAGCAGATGCAAACTCTTAGATAAGAATGGACAGACAGTTCCTACTGTACCGCTCAGGGAACTGCATTCAATATCCTGTGATAAACCACAGTGGAACAGAGTAATTTTTTAAAAGAATGTATGTAAGTGCATAACTAAATCATTTTGCCGTACAGCAGAAATTAACACAACATTGTAAATCAACTATACTTCAAAAGAAAAATACAGTGAAATACCACTCTATATCCACCAGATAAGAAAACATAACATTGAGAGTATCAAAGGTGCCAAGAACTGGGTTCTTCTTATAAGAAGCTATCAATTTGAATAACTCTTGGATATTCTGTTGTAAAGATACATATTCCATTTTGAACCTCCAATTCCATTCTAAATATATAGTCGAATAAAAAGCAGGCTCATATGCTTCAGGATACATAGGGGGGAAAGTGGAAGCAATCCAAAAGTGCACATCAAAATGGGTAAATAGATGAAGGCTTAGACCAGGTTGTTGGCAGTGGAGGGTGTGACACGTGTCTGGACAGGGCCATATTTTGGAGGTAGAGCTAGCAGATTGGGCTCAGGATCCTACAGTGAAGAAACAATCAAGAATGTCTCCCAGCCTCAGGGCCTGAAAGTCTGGGTGGGATGGTGGTGGTATTTACAAAGAGGAGAAAATCTGGGAGAGAAAGTTTAGTGGAGAAAGTCCACAGTCCATTTGTCCTTGTTAAGCTTGCGTGTCCTATGAGACAGCAAGCAGAGATAAATTTGTCAATTAACATAAATATTTGCCATTGCACAGAGAAAAATCTGGATGGTTATCACCTAACTGACAAAGGGATTCTCTCCAGGAAGTGGAATTGGGGGTGGGGTAAGGGGAGAAGAAGGGGAAAGAAGTTACTTCTACTTTTGACTTCATTTAGGACAGAGATGGTATGGACCTAACAGAAGCAGAAGATATTAAGAAGAGGTGGCAAGAATACACAGAAGAACTGTACAAAAATGATCTTCATGACCCAAATAATCATGATGGTGTGATCACTCACCTAGAGCCAGACATCCTGGAAAGTGAAGTCAAGTGGGCCTTAGAAAGCATCACTACGAACAAAGCTACTGGAGGTGATGGAATTCCAGTTGAACTATTTCAAATCCTGAAAGATGATGCTGTTAAAGTGCTGCATTCAATATGCCAGCAAATTTGGAAAACTCAGCAGTGGCCACAGGACTAGAAAAGGTCAGCTTTCATTCCAATCCCAAAGAAAGGCAATGCCAGAGAATGCTCAAACTACCGCACAATTGCACTCATCTCACACGCTAGTAAAGTAATGCTCAAAATTCTCCAAGCCAGGCTTCAGCAATACATGAACCGTGAACTTCCAGATGTTCAAGCTGGTTTTAGAAAA